TGTAATTCCGGCTACTTGGAAGGCTGAGGCGGAAGGATCGCCGGAGCCCAGCAGGTCGAGGCTGCGGTGGCCAGGAGCGGCCACTGCACTCCAGTCTGGGCGACAGAGTGAGACTCCAACTCAAAAAACAAAACAAAACAAAACAAAACAAAAAACTGGAATGAAATTGAAAGAATGATCAAGTGAATGTGTCTCACTGCCTCCCCCAGTCACAAACATAAACAAAGAAGATAAATGAGTTAAGAACACTGAACAGAGGGACTAAGGGTGTCGCAGAGAGCTGCCCACCAGGGCCATATCTGGACAGTCACAGATAAACTTCCACTGGGAAAATGTCTGCCATGTCCCAGAACACACATCAGGCTGATGCTGTTTCTCAGATACATAGGAAAGTCCTGTTTCCTTTCTGCTAATAGGCAGCAATCAAGCAAGGACTTCCGAGTGGATGTGGGGCCCACAAGACCACATAGTGACGGAATTCAAGAGAAAGAAACAAGACAAAGAGGAAAGATTTAAAACAAAAAAAGCAGGACTTGATGAAAGTTCATTTCACCAAGCCCAGGATACTGATGAGAAAGATGCAAAATCAGGAAACCAGTGAAATAACATCTAAGAGGTGAGTTAACTGCTACCAGAGGCACCAAAAAGTGGAAGTGAAATGACACCAACCAGCCCTGTCTGGTGAAATTCAAAACAAAAGGGAACTGAGAAGGAAGTAAGAATGACCCAGAAAATGGGGTGGGGTCCCAAGAAAGCCTGGAGGAGACCAGGAGGGGTGGTGAACCCAGGGAAGGACTGGGGAGAGGGAAGCCAGGGAACCAGTGAACGGGGTCTGGGCAACACACTTCACTCCTCCGGGAAGCCCACCATCTGCAAAATGTTTTCAAAGAAAGGCTCTTCAGTGTCCTTTCTCCTACTCTGAAATTCACTATTTCTCTCCAAACTTTTTTCTGGCTATAAGGACAGCATGGGGAAAAAAATAAGTAAACCACCAACATCAACTCAAAGACGAGAAGATGAAGAAACCCCCTCTTCCTGGAAGAACATGCACAAGGAGACATCGAGGCAGAGGAACGCAAACTCCCAGCAGGGGCTGCTTTCGCACGACCCGACCCAGAAGCAGGAGGCATGCTGCCCGCTCCCGTTTCCTCAGGGAACATAGGGTTAGAGCAGGGGTTAGGGGTTAGGGTTAGGGCTAGGGCTAGGGTTAGGGGTTAGGCATCTCCATGAATTCTCTGGCCATCTGTGCCCACCATAGTTTCTTAGCAAGCTCCAATGTGATGTTGAAAAATTAACATAACACTGAGTGTTGACCGTGGCACATGGAGCTCGTGGCACATGGAGCTCGTGCCCCAAGGCCTGATAACCTCCCAACAAAATAATCTTGAGGTAGATACGATTATCCCCATTTTAGGGTTGACAGACACCAAGTCTCAGGGAGGGCAAGTCACATGCTTGAGGCTGCCTGACTAGTGAGTGGCAGGGTGAGCCTCCCTAGTCAGAGTGAGTATCTTCACTCCCTGTCGGAGAAAGACTCTCTGTCATATGTCTAAATTGCCTAGCAAGAAATCAAATGGCCTGGCAACCCGCCATCTTCTCAGGGAGGCCTCTTCTAACAGGAGTGCTCATTGCCATCCTGAGCTCTAAGGGTCTCTTGACCCTAGCACAAAGGCCAGGCCCACAGGGCTGGGGTCACAAGAGACTTGGTAACTGCTGCCTGTTTTTCTGAGAGTCAAGAGGCCAGTGAGGCCAAGGCCAGAGCCCAAGGGCAGTTCTTATGGGGCCAGTGAGGTGGGTCTGCGAGGCCCGGTCAGAGGCACAGAGTCCTGCCACTCCCCATGTCGGCCTCGACTTCCCCACTAAACAGAGTGAACCTGGCTTCTCATTTAAAAAAAAAAAAAAAACCATCAAGCCCAAACCTGGTGTGGAGGGTAGGAGGCTGCAGTTTCATGATTCTTCTTCAAATATAACAGATATCCCACACTCAAACTAGATGATTCTCTCCCAAGCCCTGGACCTTGCAGTTTTGGGTAAATTGAAATCAGCCTCAAACCAATCACTGCAAGAACATCAGGTCCGAGGCCCTTGTTCGTTTTCTTTGCACAGTGAATGCGCCTGTAACAGATAAAGCTACTTAATCATCACGCAGTATAAAGAACACTTTTACGGGAAGGGGAGGCCGAGCAACTGGCTGCCAGCCCCAAATCTACATACCTTGTCCTGTTGCCTGTGCCCTACCTCTCTTTGCCTTGTTTTCTCATCTCTAAATAGGGCAAAGCAGCCTGTCCCTAATTACCTCACCCAAGGGTTGTACAAAATGAGGCGCGGGAAGGAAAACCCTCCAAATGCCTAAGCAGCAACATTATCACCATCACCTTCCATGATATTCCTACTTCTCACCTCAACACACCCCACCCCACCCCACCCCACCAACCCCAGGAGCAGACAGTTAAGTAGGCTTCGTCAAAGCCCAGAACAGGAGCCCTGCATTCTAGTTGGTTTTGCTGATACCCTCAATCAAGGTGATTCTGACAGAACCCAAAAAGGAAAGGAAAACATTCTTCTCTGGCAGCCAGAGAGGCCATCCATCTTGCCTGTTCTTCCAAATTACCTAGCAACAATGGCCCTTCCCCAGAAAGGCTCTCGATCACTGATCTTGAAAACCACCCCAGTCCTCAAGAGGGTTTGCAAACACTGCTGTTCCCTCCCGTCTCTGCTTTTTAGAGGTGTCCCCTTCCAGTAATCCCAGGTTGTGGCTCATCCCTATGAGCTACAGGAGGAGGCCCCCTGCTCCGCACCTTCTGGAAAACAGAGGCGAGTTTCCGTGTATGTGACCTTAGTGACCTCACAAGTGCATATAAAAAAGCAACTGGTCATCTAAACAGGTACACCAGCCTGAGCATGCCAGGAAGTCCCACCACAAATCACTGTTACAGTCAGGCTTGTGGCCAAGGGTGTGTCGGGCAGTAGAGGCTGGAGGGGGTCAAGCAGGCAGGCCACTCTGAAGCAGGGAGGAAGGTGGCGGGCAGTGCAGAGGCGCACCGGGCAGGGCTGGCTCAGGGAGCCCGCTGCAGGATGAGCTCCGTAATCTCTGCCCTGCTACCCAACCTCATGGGTATCCCATAGTAGGCCGTGCCTGGGCTGACATACACAAATGTAGCCTGGGCCACTTGGTAGAGACCAGCAAAGAAGGGGTTCAGGAGATAGGCGGCCACGTTCAAGGGGAAGATCTGCCCAGCATGCGTGTGCCCCGAGAGGATCAGGTTAATATCTGGCCTAGCCTGGAGGGCCCTCTTGGCAGCCAAGGGCTGGTGGGCCAGCAAGATGATGGTGCGGTCTGGGCTGCAGCCCTCCAGGGCCTTGACGAGATCCATGCCGTGACCAGAGTAGTGCAGGATGTCCGCTTCAATATCGTCCACCCCAGCCAGGCAGATCCAGTCATGACCTTCACCTTTACCATCACTACCACCACGGTGGGCCCACGCAGAAGAAATCTTCACGTTCTCGTTGTGAAGAGGCTGGACGCGCAGGGATTCCAGCAGCGTAAACCAGTTGCTGACGTCCGACGTGTAGTACTCGTGATTACCTGTGACAAAATAGGTGCCGAGGCGTGAACGAAGCTGGCCCAAAGGAGCAACTGCCGTCTGCAGGACCGAGGCTTCCGAATCCGAGAGGTCGCCCACGATCACCGTGATGTCGGGTTCCAGCACGTTCACCATCCTTACAAACATCTCCATCTTGGTCCTGCCCACTGTGGGGCCCAAGTGAATATCCGAGAGGAGTACAATCTTGAGGTTGTTCATGGACGAGGGCAGCTGGTGGACGGGCACCGCCACGGTCTTCACAGCTGGGGGCTGGGCAGCATTCAGCAGCCCGGCCACGCTGAGCACGGCGGTCACCACCACCGCCAGGGCAGGCCTGAGCGCCAGCTTCCTTGTCTTGTCAAGGCTACCCACGACCCTGCCGCTGCGCCAGGCCAGGAGCTGGTAGGCCTGCTCCATGGCACTGAGGATGCAGAGGAAGAAGACCATGATTATGTAAGCGCCCAGGCAGGAGTAGGCTGCCAAGGAAAAGAAACAGGGCTCCTCGGCCACCAAAAAGAGCATGGTGAAGAAACTGGAGTGGGCCAGGGCCAGAAATACCAGGACGGCCACCTTCCAAAGCTGAAAACAGGTCGACTCCGCCGCGGGGGAGGGGCAGAGGTTGCTCACCGTGCTTCGCCAGATGTAGAGGGAGCCACTGAGCATGAGTGAGTTGACAAACAGGGCAAGCTGCAGGCGAAACAGCCACCGCCAGGCCCTGAGTTCAAGGCTCTCCGCCAGATAAGAACGGGAGATGATCATAGACACGAAGACAGTGACGGCAGCCAGGGCGGCCTTCGCCCCTAGGGACAGCTGCCTGAAGATGGCCATTTCCTCTGTTCCTAGAAGGGTCCCCTGCCAGGGCTGTGCGGGCGGGCTCTGGAAATGAGTTCCTTAGAAAGGACAGTGGCCAAGGAGAGGTTTCCAAGTCAACTCCGCCTGCAACCAGGAACCGGCATCAGCTTTGTGGGATATTAGAGCGTCCTTGTCCCCATTCAGAACCCAGAGGCCACTGACATCTGCCCAACCCGCCTTGAGTCCAAGCCACTCAAATACCAGTCAGTTGCTAGCTACACATTATTATTCAAATACAAACACACAGGATTGGACCTGATGGGCAGTTTTCATTTTCTTGCTACATTTTCTGTACGTTGGAAGTGTCTCCACAATGAGTGTGAACTAGAGTAATGATAAGGAAAACATTACTCTAAATCAGTGGTTCTCTAAGTATGGTCTAGGGACAGCCTTTCAGGGGGGTCCATTGAATCAAAACTATTTTTGTAATAATGCTAAGTCATTACTGTCTTTTCCATTCTCTCAGTCTCATGAGTGCAGAGTTTTCCAGAGGCTATGTGACATGTAGAAATTGATATGAAAATCTGACTGCCTTCTATTAAGACAGACATGAAAGAGATTTACAGAAATGTAAAACAATGCAACTCTTTGCCCTAAAATTTTAGAAGAAACTCTGTTATTTTTCATAAAAATATGTTGTTTATTAGTATGTAATGATTTATTATTTCTTTTTTTCTTTTTTGAGTCAGACTCTCACTCTGTCACCCAGGCTGGAGGGTAGTGGCATGCTCACAGCCACCATAGCCTCAACCTGCTAGGCTCGGGTGATGCTTCTGCCTCAGTCTTCCAAGTAGCTGGAACCGCAGGTACGTGCCATCATGCCCAGCTAATTTTTACTTATTTATTGTGGAGACAAGGTCTTGCCAGGTTGCCCAGACTGGTCTGGAACCCCTGGGCTCAGGCAATCCTCATGCCTCAGCCTCCCAAAGTGCTGGGATTACAGGAGTAAGTCACCACGCCTTGCTTATTATTTCTTTCTTTCTTTTTTTTTTTTTGAGTTGGAGTCTCACTCTGTCACCCAGACTGGAGTATAGCGGCACGCTCCCGGCCACCGCAGCCTCGACCTGCTGGGCTCCGGTGATCCTTCCGCCTCAG